TAGTTGGATTTTTGGGGAATTTATGGCAGGATTTGGGGGGATTTGTGGCTGCATTTTGGGGAATTTGTGGCTGGATTTTGGGGGGATTTATGGCTGGATTTTGGGGAATTTTAGCTGGATTTGGGGAGGATCTGTGACAGGATTTTGGGGGGGATCTGGGGGTTGGTTTGGGGGGAATTTATGGCTGATTTTTGGGGGGATTTGTGGCTGGATTTTGGGGGGGATCTGGGGGTTGGTTTTGGGGGAATTTTTGGCTGAATTTGGGGGAAATTTTAGCTGGATTTTGAGGGGACATTTGTGGCTGGATTTGGGGGAGATTTTTATGTGGATTTGGGTGGGATTTGTGACAGGATATTGGGGTTGGTTTGGGGGGAATTTATGGCTGAATTTTGCGGAATTTATGGCTGAATTTGGGGGAATTTATGGCTGGATTTTGGGGAATTTATGGTTGGACTTGGGGGATTTGTAGCTGGATTTTGGGGGCATTTGTGGCTGGATTTGGGGGGGATTTTAGCTGGATTTGGGGGGGATTTGTGGCTGGATTTAGAGGTGGATCTGGGGTTGCCTTGGAGGGAATTTATAATTGAATTTCAGGGATTTTTTGGCTGGATTTGGGTGGAATTTATGGCTGGATTTAGGGGAATTTGTGACAGGATTTGGGAGGGTTTATGGCTGAATTTTGGGGAATTTATGGCTGAATTTTGGGGAATTTACGGCTGGATTTTGAGGGGGATCTGGGGTTGCCTTGGAGGGAATTTATTGTTGAATTTCAGGGATTTTTTGGCTGGATTTTGGGGAATTTATGGCTGAATTTGGGGAATTCATGGCAGGATTTTGGGATGAACACCCAACCACACCTTGCACGAATTTCCCGCTGACCTCAGCGCCATTCCCCCCTCCGTGCCTCAGTTTACCACTGGGTGGAGATGCGCACCAAGACGCGGCTGCTGGGGTTGATTTTGGGGGGGATTTATGGCTGGATTTGGGGGAATTTATGGCTGGATTTTGGGGAATTTATGGCTGGATTTCGGGGAATTTATGGCTGAATTTTGGGGGAATTTATGGCTGGATTTTGGGGAATTTATGGCTGAATTTTAGGGAATTTATGGCTGAATTTTGGGGAATTTTTAGCTGGATTTGGGGGGAATTTATGACTGAATTTTGGGGAATTTTTGGCTGGATTTGGGGGGGATTTGTGGCTGGATTTTAGGGAATTTATGGCTGAATTTTGGGGAATTTATGGCTGAATTTTGGGGAATTTTTGGCTGGATTTTGGGGAATTTATGGCTGAATTTTGGGGACTTTGTGACAGGATTTGGGGGGGATTTATGGTTGAATTTTGGGGAATTTATGGCTGGATTTGGAGAGGATTTCTGACAGTATTATGGGCGAATTCCCGACCACACCTGAACTGAATTTCCCGCTGACCTCGCTGCTTTCCCCGCCCCCCTTTTTGGCCACTCCCCCTTTCCCCTCCGTGCCTCAGTTTACCACTGGGTGGAGATGCGCACCAAGATGCGGCTGCTGGGCTTCCGGGGGGCTCAGGTGAAGCCCCTGAACGAGGAGGCGGCGGCCGAGCTGGGGGCGGAGCTGCTGGGCGAGGCGCTGGTGTTCGGCGTGGGCGGGCTCTGCCTCTACCTGGAGTACCTGCGGCAGGCGGGGCAGAGCCGGCGGCGCGAGGAGCACCTGGAGCAGACCCTGAGCGACCTCAAAACGGGGCTGCGGCGGCTGGAGGCGGAGCTGGAGCGGCTGCGGGGGCGGGGCCACGACCGGGAGGGGGAGGGGCACGCCCTGGGTGGGGCTGGACACGCCCAGAGTGGGAATGGACACGCCCAAAGTGGAGTGGGACACGCCCAAAGTGGAGTAGGATACGCCCAGGGTGGGGTTGGACACGCCC